GCAGGGAGATTCAGTTGCTTGCTGATGCATGGATTGCGATTCTCATGCGATCAGCAGCTAAGGTAAGCAAGCTGGAGGTTGGGAGAAGGGGGGGGAGAAGAAAAGAAACTTTTTTTCTTTTACATGGCTCTGGCGATCCAAGCTGAGTTGCCTGATTAGCAGGCAACTCAGCTGGGATGTCAGAGCTTGGCTGGTCAAAGCCATTTAAAAGGAAAAAAAGGCTCTGATGATCGTGGGGCTCAGCTGGGCATGGGGGGCAGGGGCAGGGATTTTTGCTACCGGTTCTCCGAACTGCCTGCCGCCATCGCTACCTACTCTCCTGAGCCTGTCCGAACCTGGAGCATTTCACCCCTGGGATCACCCAGCAGCAGAGACAGAGAGGGAAAACGGGGCAGCGGTGGCCACTAGCATTGAGGGGAGGGTGCCACACAGAAATTGGGGCACATAGAAACACTATCCCCTTCTCCCGTTCCGTCTCCGTTGCTGAGCGATCCTGTGTGAAGAAGGGGGCTAGCAGAGAGAGGAAGAGTGTGAGGTTGCTGCTGCTGGGATAAGGGGATTCGGGACACATCTGGGTCTGGCTCACCCGGCTTCTCTTCCTCTTGCAGCCAGCTTTCTTGGGCTGTTTTCAGACTGATTTTTGGGGCAATTTTAGCCAGAAAAATGGCCTGAAAATGGCCTGGTTTTGGACATTTTTGGGGCCATTTTCAGTATGTTTTTAGGCCAATTTTGGCCGGAAAGATGGACTGAGAACAGCCTGTTTTGGGGCGTTTTTCAGGCTGTTTTCAGGCCGATTTTGGCCAGAAAAATGGCCCGAAAAATGGGTGGAGGCACAGCCAGCCAGTAGTCCGATTTGCCAGTTCTCCGAACCGCACAGAATCGAAACCACCGGTTTGGGCAAACTGGTCTGAACCGGCATCAAACTCTGTGCCAAACCAATCATATCTCATTCTTTAATAAAGTCACTAAATAACTAGACCAGCGAAATGCTGTGGACATAGTATACTTAGATTTCAGTAAGGCATTTGACAAAGTAGACCACAACCGACTTCTTGGTAAGCTAGAAAAATGTGGAATAGACAACATAACCACCAGATGGATTTGTAGCTGGCTGACAAACCGTACTCAACAAGTAATCCTTAATGGTACTAAATCCACATGGAGAGAAGTAAGTAGTGGGGTACCACAAGGCTCTGTTTTACGCCCAGTACTCTTCAATATCTTCATAAATGACTTAGATGAGTGAATAGAAGGGGAATTCATCAAATCTGCAGATGACACTAAACTGGCAGGAATAGCCAACCCCCCAGAAGAGAAGTTCAAGTTCAAATTTTTTTTTGACAACCTTGAATCATGGGCCTTATCCAACAGGATGGATATTTAGGCAGGAAAAATCAAAGGTGTAAGTACAGATTAGATGAGACGTGGCTCAAAAACAGTAACAGTGAGAGGGACCTTGGAATCTTAGTGGATGATCACTTGAATATGAGCCAGCAGTGTGCAACAGTAGCCAAAAAAGCTAATACAATCCTGGGTTGCATAAACAGAGGCATAAAATCAAGATCATGTGAAGTATTCGTACCACTTTATAAAATCCTAGTAAGACCACACCTGGAATACTGCAATCAATTTTGGTCACCACGACGGGTGGGTTCTAAATATTTTTACTACCGGCTCTGTGGGCGTGGCTTATTTTGTGGGTGTGGCTTGGAGGTCATGTGACTAGGTGGGCATGGCTAGCTGGTCAGAGTCATTTCTGGAAGGTTCTCGCACTTACGACCAGTCCTCGCACTTATGACCCGACTTATTTGTTTGCTTTTAACACTGATCAGCTGTAGGACGACCCTTTGAAGCCCCGCGGCAAGAGTTTAAACAGTTTTTTTCCCTCTAGTCATCAGCTGGGACTCAGGAGGCAGCAATAGATGGGGGTGGGACCAAATAAAAGGTAAGAATAACGTGGGTGGGGGGGAGGGCGGGGGGGGGGAGAACCGGTTCGGTGACGTCATATCGTCACCGCTACCAGCTCAGCCGAACCGGACCGAACCAGGAGGAACCCACCACTGGTCACCACACTACAAAAAAGATGTTGAGACTTTGGAAAAAGTTCAGAGAAGAGCAACTAAGATGATCAAAGGCCTGGAGACTAAAACATATGAAGAACGGCTGCAGGATTTGGGTTTGGCTAGTCTAAAGAAAAGAAGAATTAGGGGTGACATGATAGCAGTATTCCAGTACTTGAGGGGCTGCCACAAAGAAATTATTCACCAAAGCACTGGAGGACAGGATAAGAAACAATGATTGGAAACTAATCAAAGAGAGAAGCAACCTGGCATTAAGGAGAAACTTCCTAACAGTGAGGACAATTAACCAGTGGAACAGCTTGCCTCCAGAAATCGTGGGCACTCCATTACTGGATGTTTTTAAGAAGAATCTCTAGGGTGTCAAACTCATGTTGTCACGTCATCATCACGTGACATATCACAACTTTTCCCTTCACTAAACCAGTGGTGGGTATGGCCAGCACAGGATGCACCTGGCCCACGGGCTGTGAGTTTGACACCCCACTCTAGACAGTCCCTTATCTGAAATAGTATAGGTTCTCCTCCTTGAGCAGGGGGCTGGACTAGAAGACCTCCAAGGTCCCTTGCAGCTCATTCTATTCTATTCTGTTCTGTTCCTTTCAGTTCCATATTTACTTAGAAATTATAACTGGGTTATAATTCATGCTAAGAAATAGATACCTATTCAGCCTTCCATCCTTTCTAAGGTAGGTAAATTGAGGACCCAGTTGTGGGGGCAATAAGCTGACTTTGTATAAATATACAAAAGAATGAAGGCTATTGCTTAGCGCATTGTAAGCCACCCTGAGTCTCCAGAGAAGGGCGGCATATAAATCAAATTAAATTAAATAAAAATAAAAAAAATAAAATTCAAACCATAATTTGTTGAATAAGTCAATGGGCTTGATTCATACAAAATAGTAAAAAAAGTGTTCAGATGACACTCTAAATCACTGAACTATATTAATCTTGCACACCACCACACTCAACCTTTAAACCAGGTCCTGGGTTCACCTATGTCTGCTGTTTCTAATTAGTTGGAACTATAATCTGAAGTCAACAGAGAAAATTATTTACTAGATTCTTCTCAGTCTCATGTTTGCAACAAGCTTTATCTTAGATTTTTTTCTCATATTTTTCTCAGAATCTCTAAACTAGGGTCTGCCTTGAAACCCAATGTATTGCTACCCACATGCCACCAAATAGGAGATACATTTATTATTTATTTTATTCCCCCCCTTTTATTTTTATAAATAACTCAAGGCGGAGAACATACCTAATACTCTTCCTACTTATATTTTCACAACAACAACCCTATGAGGTGGGTGGAGCTGAGAAAAAGTGACTGGCTCAAAGTCATCCAGTTGGATTTCATGTCTAAGGTAGGACTAGAACTCACACTTCCTGATTTCTAGGCCAGCATCTCAATCACTACATCAAACTGGTGAATGTAGTACAGTAAAGCAAATCATTATAACAGAATGGATACAAAGCAGAATGTTATTAAAAACAAAGATATTTTAATTCTCCACATACTTTGTCTAGTTGTATATTGAATGGTGAAGAAATTCAGGATCATGGAGACAACTAAAATATCAATTACAATATACTAAAACCAGGTAAAGAACATGAGCTTTATTAAATTAAGTGTCCATTTCTAACCACAGTGATGTCAGGATAATGAAATTTGCATCATACTTTCATAACAAAAAATCTTCCTTTTTATATTTGCACATATGTAAATTCACTTTTCCCCTGATATCTCTGTTGTTAAATCCTATAGAGTATTATTAAAAACACAAACATATTTATACATTTTGTAAAACAATATGGAAGCATACTACCACATTACATTAGTCTGGATTTTAAACCTTTCAATGATATCAAACTGCTGATTCTTAAGGAAAGCATTAAGTATTATATATGCATTCATACATTTCTAATGAAAACCTTTCAAATGCTTTATTTTGGATGTAAGTGCTATCTGGCTGTGACATCTGTAACCTCATTGATCACCAGTGTTGATTTCGCTGATCAGGCTGCCTAGGCAGGTATCCCCTTCCTCCCTCACTGTGGATATAGGAGTGTACCAATTTTCAATCAAGAGTATACAATAGGTCCACAATTGCAGACAGTTTAAGAAATATGTACTGTGGAAAGTTAATGGGCAGTTTTCCAGAGTATGGGCTGCTGCTATTAATGTGTTAATGCTTTTAGGTCTTAATGTAATAAGTTCCTTTATTCCTAAATTTAGCTGGCTAGCAACTGCAAATCTATATTTTGGGTTCTTTTTAAAAAATGAAATGCTTTTTTCCCTCTGGATGAACAACAAAACATGATTTCTATGGAACATTTTTTTAACCATTCTCCATTTATTTGTGTGACTGATTTGATTTTTTGGAAAGTATTCCCTGTTTGGAAGTGAACATTCACAGCTACTCTGTCCTATTTTGAATATCTCCTGGATGTTAATGGAGTTGTTAATAGTAATGAAAGGGCTAAAAATCATTCTCATTTATCTCTAACACAGTCACCTCCTTGAAGTAATATATTAACATAAAATTAAAGAATGAAAACACATTATCCAAGCAAATAAAAATCCTCTATACTCATCAAAAATACCTCACCAACTAAAAGAGGTCCATACACTAAAATATTTTTTTCCGGAGGCAAAGTTTTATGAAGATTGCTGCCAAATCTTCAAGGGAAGAAGAATCAATCAACAGAGAAAGACAAACAAGGACAAAATTGAATGGTCTAACATCAGTATTATCTCCTATATTATGCCTGGCCCACAGAAACCACCCAATTCAGATTAACAAATACAAAATAATTAAAAATCAAATATAGTAGCAACTGGCGTTCTCCTTTGCCTTTAAGATCATATTCCCCCAGAGTTTCACTTTCTCCTTCAGCCATTTTCCTTAAATTTCCACTTACCAGAATTACTAAAACTTGAAAGAACCCCAGTGGGATCATAGTTTGGCCAGCTTGCCCCTTACATTTGCAGAGTGGGCCCCTGGCTGCGTGACCTTTGGCAGCTCTTCCAAAAAGGGAAGAGAGTAAAACTTCCGTGCCTGGTAATCCAAGTTCCTTATAAAACAGGAAGCCCAAAGTAAGGAAAGGGTGGAGACATAAATTCCCACCCACATGAAATATTAGTCCATCCACCCTATAATGTTCAAAGGAATCTACTCATAGCATATGAACAAGGCAGTTAACCCATTCATTCTCAGTAAACTAAGTCCTGCATAGAATCCCATGGAAGAAGGCTAGATTTTATTTTCAAAAGACTGCCTAATAAGATACTTCAGAGAAAACATTCTCTTAGCTAATTTCATCCTAGCTTTCCTCTTTTTCCCCAAATTCATTATAAAATGTCCATAATAAGATAAATTTAGAAGAAAAATCAGATTAGACTGTGATTTAGCATGTTAACACCAGGATTGTATATCTGATTTTAGATTTTATGTTTTAGTGTGGTGTTAATCCAGCCAATTTAGGTTTATTCCACAAACCATGGTTAACTATGGCACAATGGTGTGTGAAAAGTGATGGCTAAATATGGCTTTTTCAGGCTCGTGCTTCAGTGTGCATATTTTCCAATGAGACAAACGGAGACAGGAAGATCATTTTATTACAATTTATCAGAATATTCAGACAAAAGGGATTCCTCATTCAAAGTGGGAACCCCGATTTTTAGCTTATATCCCCTTTTATAATTAACATAACAAAGAAATCTGAAACAGGAAAGTTGATTGGACAGGATAACAGCATACATGTTTATTAAAATGAGGTCTGAAGGGAAATAAATTGTAAGGAGAAAGGTTGTGTAGGATTCACAAAAAAAGATAAGACAGACCCCAATTTGTACTAACAAACTTTTCTTATCAGGAGCTAGTCTCCAGCTTGTTTATCAGTTTAGGAATGTTAAAAGCTAATAAATCTTGAACATCACTTTAAAAGAAAGAATATAAATCAGATTAAAAAACAAAGTAACTATGTTAGTTAACAAATAACAAAACCCATGTTATCTGCCCCTCAAAAGTCAACAATACATAATTTTCATGCAACATGCCAACTGTAGCATGATTGCATAATCAACAAGCCAAATGGCTCAGTGCAATCCATGTGCACATGTAACTAAATGTTGCATTTGGCTGTTTCCCCATGCTGGAAGAAATGTCCATCTGGGTTCAGTTCCAAGTGGGAAGAAAGACACTGGAAACATGGAGACTGTTTGGAAAGATGGTTTAATGGTGGACAGGACCACATGGTTTGAAGTCCTGGGCAAAAAGAGCACATGAGTGAGAGAGGGAGAGAGATTTATACCCTCTCTTGGGCCCCGCCTTGGAGCTTCCTGTTCCTTGTAAGGAATGTACTCTGGTTATCAGACTCCCATGGGGCTATGCAGGGGTAACTTTGTAGGTTGTCTTGAGTCCCAGGCCTGGTTGAATCTTGCTGGGTGATGATGTAATGAAGGGGCTTTTGGGCAATTCCTATTATGGCTTAATGACTTTGTCCTGGTTTGGATCTTGAGTGAGGGCTAATCCTATCATGTCCTGAAGGCCATGTCTTTTGTGTTGTAGATAAGCTGGCCCAGCCTTTGTCTTGTAGATAGGTTGGCACCAAAATATCTGCTGGGGGGGGGGGACAGGGAGCTGAGGCTCTGAGTTTGTCTTTAGAAATATGTTTCTCCTTTAGGGAAAATATAATATTCTGCCTTTTTAATATTTCCTAGAATATTTCATTTTCCTAGGAGACTGGTGGGTGCTAAATTCCTACTCCCGTAACAACTTTTGCAGGAAATTCAAGTCAGGGACATGGGGGAGTGGAGCTGGCAGAAGATATAATTTCCACTAGCATTTTAAACACTTTTTAAACAATCACTGTTACTTGCCTTAAAAGAGCCAGTTTGGTGTAGTAGTGAAAACACTGGCTTAGAAACCAGGAGATTGTGAGTACTAGTCCTGCCTTAAATATGGTTGACTTTGTGACTTTGGGTCAGTCACTCTCTCTCAGCCCAATGCACTTACAGAATTGTTGTGGGGAAATATTAGGAATATTTGGGGGGGGGAATATTAGGGGAATCTTGGGGGCAATATTAGGAATGTTCACTGCCTTGAGTTACTTATAAAGTAATACAGGTAGCATAAAAATCTAATGAATAAATATATAAATAAGGCAACCTGTGCTAACAGAGAAGTCTGAAAGTATTACAAGGGCACATTCTTGAAAAAATAATTTCATTGTTTTTTGTAACCTCAACCTGCAACTTTATCAGCTATAAAGGAGAAAAGAGAACATATTGTCATTAGCAATTTTGATGAGTAGAGAAGAAAAACTTAATTTCTCTGCTTCTCAGAAAAGCTAACAAAGTGAATTTGCTGTTGTGTTGAACTCGACTCTGGGCCAAACACATGGACACAACAGGCAGGGATTTTGGCAATGAATAGGAAGTGATTTACCAGTGCTTATCTTCTATATCAGCAAAGTGGGCTGGCTGATGCCTTTAAAAAAACTTCAACATTAAAATCTGATTATACTGAATTTTTGCAACATGTATGTAGCTTTAATTTTATTTCACACTTGCAATATTCATAGTGGATTATATTAATAAATTATCAAAAACATACCTTTATGCATACCTTTAAATTAGAATTTTAAAATGTTTAATTCCTTTCATTTTATGACTCAGTCTAGGATTAACAATATTTTCTATTTAATTGGTAGCTTTAATAAAAAAATCTTGATGGAAAATAATTTATTCTCTATAGAAAATAATTTAGATAGACCCTGAATTCCCAACTTTTATCCAATCTCCCCACAGGCTCTTTCAGAATTTCCCGGGAAACTACAGATGCAGCAAAATTCTAAACTCTGCAATCAGCTTTAGAGGCAGCAATCAGTTCCATCTTAAGACAGACAGACAGACAGACAGACAGACACACACACACACACACACATGTAAACAGGGGGAAAGGAAACTAGGAAGTCTGACATGAATCTATGCTGAGGATAGGTAAGAGATAAGGGGAACCTTAGAGATAGTAGAAACTGACAGCACGTGTATTTCTGTGCACTCGAAAAGCTGAAATCAATTGTTTCTTCCGTTTCTTTTGACGTCAACTTGCCCATAGACTAATGAAATGTAGAGACAACAATCCTATTTAGATAGGGGTGCTTTCCACCTTCTTGTTCGGGTGGAAGTGAAAGCTGCAACTTGAGAAAGACCGTTTTTCTAAGACAAATTTAATCCATGCATCTATTTTCAACTTTTATCGATTTTGAGTTGTGAAAGATAAATTTTTCTCTTATGTTTCTCTATCAATACTACCTTTAGACGCAAATTTGATTTGAGCAACCATAGTCCTACCTAGCTTCAACCACAATACACGAGCAAACAATAGATACAAACTTAAAGTAAACCGCTCTGTAAGGGGCGTGCATAAGCGCACCAACGTACTTAGCGTCCCTGTCCTATTGTCCCTTTTTATTCGTATCCATTTCATGTATTCATAATCATGTTTTATATTTTTATCTGTTATCTTACATATGCTTGACAAATAAATTAAAGAATAGTCTACGAAGTCCTCTGCTTTTGGCAGACCTGTCGTGAGTGACGACTTCCGGGCTGCAGCCTCCTTCGCTTTGCAATGTGTGGCCGAATGAATTGCGTGCGCCCTGGAAATTCCTAACCGCTATTTTTAAAATATTGAAATATGAAGCAAAAGTAGTATTTCACACAAAATATTTGGAGAGGCTGAGATGGACAGAATAGTATACTAAAAAGTTCAGTTGTTCCAGGTAGGTCAGACAGGCTCAGCCAAATTATAGGCATAGCCCGTGGCTTGCAAATATCCTTTTTGCCGGCTGAACTCCGTGCGGTTTAACAAGGAAGTCGTGAGCAGAAGCGTCCACGCGGAATAACATCCGTGGCGCCCTCTTCCGACGCCCAGAAGGGGCAGGCGGTGAAGTGGCCGCTCCTGCTTCGAGAAATTCCCGCCCCAAGTTTCCGTTCAAACGCCCTCGCGAGACTAACGAGATGGAGAGCGGCCACCGGCAGCCTTTGAAGCGCCCCCGGACCCCGGACCGCAGCACCGCCGCGCGTGCCAGCAGGTGAGGGGCACAAAAGGGGGCGGGCTCGACCGCGTGAACTTGGCCCTATAAGCTTGCTATAGAATAGTGTGAAACTACAAATAAAATTGTTTGGAGAACAGGTTATATGGTGTGATTCATTAGAGAATGTGATACTTAGGGAAAGTGCTAGTACATTCCTTTTGCTATTTATTGCTAGAACAGATATGCTGCTCGGTAAGAAATAAAGTGAAAACACAACAGCCATTATAGCAGTAAAAGTAAAAAGAACTCAACTTCTTACCAATGCATGAACAAGTCCATGTTGGTTTCTTAGCAATAGTATGTAAATGATCTGCTATTACCCTCTTCTCTGATTTTTTTTCAACTGCATTCCTGAGTTCTGGAGTTTCTAGTATTCTTTCATCCAAGCACTAATTAGATCTGACTCTACTTAGCTTTTCTAAGATCAGTAATGGTTAGATTCTGCCACCTGCTATGACAGTTTAATAAACCTATTGTTTATCATTAATATTTTACAGATATATCTAGTTTTATTTTCAAAGGTCAAAACAATTTATATGGAGGCCTTTATTTGTTCTAATTCTACAACAGCAACATTTATGTCTTCATTCTTCACTATAAATAACTTAATTATATTTTCCAGCATTATTTCTATCTCTGATCTTCAATCTCAGTGTATACCTTGCTGTAGTCGTTTAACCTCGAGTTCTGATGAATTCAGAGAATGGACCCACCAAAATGAAACTATTTTGCCTGACCAGAAATATTTTGAACAAACTCGCTTGATGCTCATAGGTTACTTGAGAAGTGAAACACCAGGAAAAAAAGATAAGATGATGGATGGAAGTGTTTATTTGCAAGATAACACTGGAGCACTTCCCTGTGTGGTATGGCATTAAGATGTTCTGCTGTTTATCTATCCAGCGCTGCTTAGGAGAGAGACATTATAGCTCTTAGCAGAAAATAATAAACTTAAAAGTGAAGACTGGGGGCCTTTAAAATCTTTCTCCTGTGCACTGGGATACATACTGGGTGTCCAGTTTAAATAGAATAGTGCAGCTGGATCAAGACCAAGTCTTTTAGTTTCTTGCAATCATCCACTAACTCTGGTGTGCTCACAAACAGGAGTTGGAGACATCCCTCCATGCTTAGCAACTGATTTTTGAACTGACATTGATTCCAAGATTAATAGCCAAATATAGTATTTAAAAAAAAACATATAAACCAACAGTTTGGAGGATCAAATACAGTTCTAGTTATCACATATAGTCATGATGCAGTTTGCTAGACTGTTTATTCACTTGTTTTCTTCTGCTTGGTTCATTCATGCTGCTAGTAAATACTAAAACTGGTATTCAAATGAAGGAAGCTGAATTTCCCTTCCTATCCAATAGGATTTAGCTAGAAACACTCAATATGTTGTTTTGGAGAGGGGCAAGTAAATCACTTTACTGTCTAGTAGAGTTAATTGCATTAAATCTGAATGGGATTAGCATGATAGATATTTCTATGTTTCTACAATTTTCAAATAAAAGGCTATTGCTTTTGTATAGCTAATGTCACTTTTTCTCTTTTGGGCAGTTCCTGCATTTTAAGCTTGATTGGCTAGAACATCTATCACTCTTCCCTAGTTGGATATACATTCCACAGAAAGGCGAGGGCACAAGTGGATATTTGGAGATACTAGAAGATCCAATTCAAGTACTTTCTGGACCAGAAAAAAATCTTAGTACCATCCCTGTTTTGTACCCTGGGACAGCTGCAGACCTGCTCAGTGCCAGGTAAAGATTTACTATTATTTAGGCTTCTTGATCACTCCTTTTCTTTCCCTAATCTCATCCATTTTCCTTAATTGTTAAGAAAGTGCTGGTGGAGACAGTCTTCTTAATTTAAATACACATTTTCTAGGAAAAGGTGTGGCTTCTTTAAAGAGATACAAATGGGTGCAACTTGTGCCACTCACAATTGTTGAAACACCTTTTGCACTTGGGAAAGTATTTTCCATTGAATAGGTACACATCCCTATCTGCAGGTATTCATTTTTGTGTAACTTTTTGAAGTAATCTACACATCCATGAATAATGGATGAACTTTTGATTGTCCCCCAAATAAGATGTGTTAGGATTGATGTTCTATTCTGCTGATTAAGTAACAATATTGATGAAGTTAGAGTGCATTGGTTCAATGTGAATCAGATTTAATTGAATTATTTATGAAATATGTCTATAACTTGAAACCAATCCTACTCTAGATAGTTTACAAAACATAGTAAAAATGCAATACAAAATCAGGATAAAGATGAATTAAAATAATTTCATTTAAATTCTCAATTAATGCTAAACAGGCTAAAATATGGAAAAAGGTGCTACAATTGAACACTAAAAGCTTTCTAGAGGAACCATGTTTTTATCTTCCAGAACTTTATGAGGTTGGGTGCCATTGGTGCTTCAAGAGACAGGCTGCTGCAGAGACCGTGCACCATTAGCTCCTCCTCATTATAGCTAATAGATTGGGAACCTTAGGTGCTCCTACTTAAATATTAATAGCAAAGTATATGAATTGGTCTGGTGGTGCTACTTTATGAATGGATTATAGTTTCACTACAGCAGGAACCAAGGAAGTGGGCAGAACTGCCTGGAATCTAGTATCAGCCACTTACCTGCCTATAGGCCTGGGACTTGCAGGTCCCTGCTAGCTTCCCATTGACTTTGTTGTGGGAAGTGGCAGGAAGTTGTTTCACCTGATGACCATGGGATTCAGTTAACAATAGCAGCTGGGTCTATAGGATTTGCTGTCAATATGTGATAATGGTTGGGCTGGTTACAACCATTTCACTTGACAATGGAAATTCCAATCCTAATTGCCATCATATGTCAAGGACTATCTGTAATGGAACAATAATGACCATCATCCTGTCCTGCTTAATGATTGCAATTAGGACTGGCAACTCTCACTAAGTGATAGTGAAAGCAACATATCATATGACCACGACTTGCAATTTTACAGTTGGTTTCTCTATTGACTCTTGTCTGAAGCCAGCTGTGAAACACATGAAAGGCGATCACTTGATTGTGGGATGCTACCACAGTCATTAGTGCAAGATTGTAAAGTTACATTCTCCTAATAAATTCAGATGGTATCTAAAAAGGACAGTGGTTAAGTGAGGACTACCTGTAATCTCATTAACTGCCACAAATGGCCATTGCTGCACGGTCAATCACCTCATTCAGGGAACAAATAGAGGAGACCCAAGCATTGATAAAGAGAAAAAACAGGACTTCCAGACTCCAGTGGGAGCTATTGAGCAATTGAGATAGAACTAGAGCAGGGGTGTCAAACTCAGGGCCCGCGGGCTGGATGTGGCCCACGATGTGGCCAGATCTAGCCCACGGGGCCATCCTGGAAAATGTAAGGGGCCAGCCCACATTGCTTGGGCCCGCTCTTCCCGCATCGCTTTGGCTTGATCTACCCAATGCGAAGTGAAAACATCAGGCCAGCATGGCTTCGGCCTAGTTTACCCAATGCGAAGAGGAAACATTGGGCGAGTGTGGCTTCAGCCCGGTCTACCCAATGCAAAGAGGAAACATGCCAGAAGTTTGGGGAGTGGCATCAAGCTGGCCACGTCCACCCGGCCCCCTGTTGTCAACCACAGCCCTGATGGCCCTCAGTGAAATTGAATTTTACACCCCTGAACTAGAGTCTGTGGAACTTGTGCAATAATGTGCCTAAAAGAGGAAGCATTTTTGGGATCAGTTGTCTCAGCCATTTGCTGCCAAGATTTCAGTCAGCTTGCTCTTTTATAAAACAGTGCTTTGTAGTTTCTTTTCATCAGTAGTAGAATTTGATTCGTATCAGCCAAGGGATTGATTTTATGCCCTATTATTTGGGAATAACCACTAAACATCTACATTTACCCTACATTTGGGAGGTAGGTCTCAACTGAGAAAGGTCCGGCCTGGAACTTAATAATGAAATTGTAATACTGGTTACTAACATTCATAAATCATAAATTGGGTTATAGTGAAAGAAGGAGATTGCATTCATGTCCACTTTGTGTGATTTTGCAGCATCTGGTTGGCCATGATTAGAAACAATGCCTTACGAAATGTACATTTTGCTGATCTGCCAGGACTCTCTTTTTGCTTTTTTAGGCCTCAGAATAAGAATACAGCAAAGGTGAACGTGGCAGGAGAACTAGACAGGTTGACTACTATTCTCTATTTCAACCAAAAGAGTTTCTTCTTCCTCTTCCTGAAGTGTTTTAGTTCTTCTGCTTGTGTTCCAGTGGTAATACAAGTATGTTTATTTACTGTATGTTTATTTTATCCTGTATTCAATAAGAGCTATGCCTTTTCTTAAATTACTGTAGAAATGTTAGTTGATGAACAACCACCATGACCAATTACGAGGTTCATAGGCTAAGATATATTGTACCTATTTTTGAGGAAGTAGAAGTTGAGTTGATCTGCTAGGATGTTTGGAGGAGGAGGAGGAGGATTTTGCTAATCATGCATCACAACCAGTGCAGGTTGGTTTTCTTCATGATTGGGCTTGGGAATAGTAAAGGTAGCATGGATTGCCTAACAGTACTGCTTGTAGATTACAGTGCTCTTTCCCTTAAATGAGTCCATACAATATATTGGAATATATTACAATATACAATAAAGCAGACTCCAGTGACAATAGGGTATAGGCCTTCATTGATACTGAAGTCATATGTACTTCAAGTGAATCAGGAAGAATTCCAAACCTCCACAGCCGTTCTTATAGGTGCTGAATTTTGATATTTTTCCTTATTTCTCTATCCTAGAAGACTCCCCATTTGGTTTGGCATCATGCACTACAACTGGGGCATAGATATGTCCTAACTGCCTTGAAGATATCTTGCCTCAAAAGTGCTGGACAGAGTGTTTTCAGAACCAGCTCTTCCTCATGCCTTCTGCCTTACCGCAAAGAACAAACAAAGGAGCAATGTCTGGATGTAACTTCACAAGGAAGATCAATGGTACCAGTTTCCATTATGCCTTCTATACAGCCTAAGAGCTTATTGAAAGTGCAGAAGGAAGAAATGATACTGGGTCCTCTTAGAAAATCCGAGCTCATCTCATATACAGTAAGTAAATTGTGACACCTATACAAAGAAAACTTCGTTTTGAACCTGCATTTGAAAATTTCTTCAGACGTGAGTCCAGTAAGCAGTACAAACTATCGCATAACCTTTCATTATTCACTTTTCAGGGTACTATCACTCAAGTGTTAAATGCCCAAGCTGGCCTCTATGAACTAGATAACAAACACATACTTTGTCTTGCTTATCAGCAGATGTTGAATACTGGCTGTGGATTCCGACCAGGAGCATGCATAGAGGTGAGTTGGCTTGGAGTAGTTTACAGTCTCCATTAGAAAGTAGAGTGTTTGAAAAGAAGGTAAGGGGTTGGCGTTGTCATTCTGTTTCCAGCTGAAGTACAGTTATGACAAGAGAGCTTTCTGATTTAAAAGCAAGAAATCCTTACTGGAGAAGGATGTATTCTGACAAGGATTGTGTATTAAGTTGACCAGTGTAGTTTCCTGACTGACTGTAAAGCCAAAATGGAATAACTACTGTGAGAAAATTGTTGGAAAGATTTAAAAAAAACCCTTCAAATGTTTTTTATGCTTTACATGTTAGCTTCGAGATGTCCATCTTCTGGAGATGCCTTTACCTTCTATTCCTGCTGCTTTTGGAGCTTGTCTACATACTACCATTGTGCTAAAGAGTTTTTCAGCATATAGCATATTACATCAGCCTGTAAACTGCTTTGGAAATCATTATCTGCAACTACTCTTGCGTTACAATTTAAGCCTGTCGCTCTATCTTTATCTGGTCAACTTGCTGGAAATATTTGAACAAAGGTGTGTGTGATTAAAATTGATGACATATGATAATATGTATAACCTTTCTTCAGGCAAATATTTAAGGATTGGTGCTAGTTTTCTATAATATAAGATATCGTAATTTTCCCTGAAGTTTAAGACTAAAAGGGTGAATATGTGCAATCCAATGCACATATTCAGAGAGGCACATGTATGCACCTCTGCAATTACAAGTTGCACACATTCACATACAAACTGAATTCCCAGGAATAGCAGCCAGGATGCAAGCCTCCATATACTCTGGTCACAGGCTGTGGAACCCCCAACACTGCAAATACAGGCCCAAGAAATAAGGTAGCAGTTTCCAGACAGACAGCTCTCAGAGTGAGTGAATAGCACAATAGCAGCTGATTTTTGCCAGAGAACAGGTTGCACTTAAGAGAGTTTGAAGCTCTGAGAGGGAGCAAGGGAAAAAAATATTTTTTTTTTGTTTATACTTCAATTCATAAAACATCCAAAGGTGCTTTTTCAAAAGGCAACTGGACTTTGTTTTTCGTTGAAGACGTTTCGCTTCTAATCCAAGAAATATCTACAGTTCTTACTGAATGGTGGAGGATGGAAGGATATATATTCCTTGCAGTCATCTGGTCGATGATTCTGAGAGTCGTTGAGGGCACTTAGAAGTTTATCTGTGCCCTCAGGGTCACCTGAATAGTGCAAATGAGTGTGGAACCTTCTTAAACTTCTCTTAGTTGCAGACATTTCATTATTGAACTAGGTAACATCATTAGTGCTAGGCCTAGTTACCTGATGTTACCTAGTTTGGTAATGAAGCATATAAGACTATAGCCAAGCTTGGGGAACAGCAAGGGTGCCACAGTTTAAACCTGAGCTACAGAAGCAAAGATCTTTTCTTCTAGAATGCAGAATATAAAAAGTGGATTTAAATTATGTGGCAGTAGACTCCAGTTGAACATTAAGAAAGCCCTCCTAGAGCAATTTGGTAGCAAAACAAATTACCATATTTTTCGGAGTATAAGACTCACCTTATTTTGGGGGGAGGAAAATAAGAAAAAAAAATCTGCTTGAGAGGCAAAGGAGCTTCTCTTTGCAAAGGCAGCCTCTCAAACGGGTGGGCGGGGCTACATTTGGTGTATAAAATGCACCCAAATTTTCACCCTTTTTTAGTGGGGGAAAAGGTGCTTCTTATACTCTGAAAAATATGGTACCCAAAGGGACTATCTTTTATTAGTTGTGTCCAAGCATAAAACAAGCCTTATTTGGGGATGTTTTTAATCTGGATTCCTCCACTGAGCAGATGGTTGGATTTCAGAGCCTTTGTGACCCTTTCCAAGTCTGTGATTCTATTCAAACAATATCCAAGGCCTAGAACTTCCCTACATTGTATACGCCCAGAAAAAGCACTTTTCTCATATGTTGGTGAATATGCAATGTCTAAATTATAGGAAAGTGATTATTATATACAGTACAAATATTAAGATAAATTTTGAGCACTTACCAAATCTCTAAATTTGTTTGATTTTAACATTCATTATTTTGGACTCGTGGTCACTGGTAATATTGGCTGAGTTTCTTAGAATTGAAATATAGAACATCTGAAGAGCACCAGATTTTTTGAGTACAAGGACTAAATAGGCTCAAGAAATTATGTTGAAAGTTACTTTGAATGTGTTCTTTGTCCTGTTTTATGTTCTTCAGATTTCCCCCCCCTAAATTTTCTTCATCTAAAATTCATTTTCCCTCATTATATCTTTGAAGAATGTAATGTTACCTTAAATCTTTCTAGGTTCTGTTGTTTTACTCAGCACCAAAAGTTGCTGCTTTGCTTTAGCCATCATTCTCAAAGACTAATAGAGAAGTTTATTGTTCCTATTCTGAATTCCCTGCTGGTACCCACGAAGCAGGAAAGAAACTTCCATGCAGAGATCCTGGCAGAAAAGCACAGTTGTCTCCTAGATCAGGTAATACCTTTTTCCATAATCCTGTGTATTTAGCTTCTATGTGGATATAACTTAACTCCTAAACCTTTTCCTAGTACCAGATTCTGGAGCCACCATGTCAGATTCCACATTTTGTTGAACTGTATAGTATGGTTGAGAGGAGCTGCTGGGAAAGCTGTGATCCATTACAGCAGTTGCATTCTGCCTCAAAAATCTGCAACCTAAATATCCAAGAACTAAATTGCAGATTGGCCCAGAACTACTGCATTTTATCAGCTGAATGTTTTCATCCTCCATTGGTAAGTATGACATTTATCTTCTGAAAGTTTGGAAGTAAGAATAGTTTTTTGTTGTATAGTAAACTCAGAGAATAAACATGAATTTACTCACTCCCCCTGTACTGTCTGTGTGTGTTGACTCCTGGCAAATGCAAGGACAAATCCCTGTTTTTCGCCAAGATTTCAAAAGTGATTTGCCCTTGCCTCCTTTCTAGGGCTGAGAAAGAGTGATTGGCCCAAAGTCAACTTTGGCTTTGCGCCTGACTAAAACTCAGTCTTCAGCCTAATACTTTCTAGCCTAATACTTTAATCAATATATCAAATTAGTTATCAGACTTGCCTCAGCTAGGTCCCTAGGAAAGAAAGACCCTTGATTCTATGTGATTGAAGTGATAGGTTCTTTTACTAAGGATTAGTGGTTGCAAACAAAACAGGCTAGAACTAAAGTTCCTGCATAAAAGATTAAATTTTTCTCCCTTCCTCCTGGCCCTTCCCCCTTGACCAGTTCATCCTTAACCAATGGTGTGCCTATAGGTGTTTTGGGAACTGCTCAGACGTTTGGTGCAATTCGCATTCCTTTCTCAGGCTCTGTGTCCTTGAAGCCTGGAACAAGCTGGTACTCACACCTCAGGGTTTCTGTCAAGCCTGTTATCCACTCTCCCTTTTGATCACCTCTACTTCTTACATGCCAATTGCCTATTTCCTCCCCCCACCCCACCCCAATGACTGATGATAGAATACCAGTGAAGCATCAAGCTGAAGAGGCAAATCTGACACTAGTTCTCTGGTACTGTAAAAAGTTTTGTTGTTTAGATACTCCTAGAAAAATAGGCAAAAGAGTATTCTTATAAGCATATAACATAATTAGTGAATATTCTTTTACTGTCGATGGCTAATAATAACCTTTTATTTTTGGGGTGGGAGGATAGCTGTTGCTTGGAGTGCTAGAATATTCCAGTAGTGGTTCCCTCCAATTACGAGACAGAAGTAACAGTCTTCCTTGTATAATATTCCACAAGGATTGTAGACCGTTCACTGACACATCACTAATAGGTATGTTCAATATTTATTTCACTTTTATCTATAATTTGGGGGAAATATAAAATAATGGCCACTTAATATTAATAGCAACTATATTTTGAGATTCTACAGAATATTAGAGTAGAAACTGCCAGTTCTTGTACAAATTCAAGATAGTATCTGTTCTGACCCAGCCTTAGCAGAACCAAGAAACACTCCATGTTCCAAAAACTGCCTCTTTATTTAGCTCCTGTGAATTACTAGCATTCACACACTGAAAAGTCCAGGCAATAATCCTTCAAAGGGTTAATTGCAGTAACAGACCTTATCAGTTCCTTGGGATATTTGCCAGGCGGGAGCTTCCAGTTGCAAAGCTGTAAATTAAGTTCTGGCAAGCAGTCTCTGAGGCAGGAACCACAATAAGCAAATCTTCTGAAAGAAATCCGAATGGTTGTCTCCTGCAACCATTCGGAGGGAGCATTCAGTGTGCCTTTCTTCCCAAGTCGGCTCCTTGTTCTCAGTTGTTCTCCTCTCCTAGCAGCTCTGAGCATGCGCACATATGGAACAGGCCCCAGATGTTCATCCTTCCCACTTATCTCCAACTCCGAAGGCAGCTGGGAAATGTCGGACAGCCCTGGCTCTGTCTCTGCTTCCTACACAGAGCATCCATCAGAGCCTTCCCCGGACTCCAGGACTGGCCCACGTTCTTCCCCAACCTCCTCATTGTTCGAGTCTGCCACCAGCTCTGCTGACAGCTGTCGGGCCACAACAGTATCCATCACTAATTACAAAAGACAGAGTTTTGAAAGAAAAACTATACTATTGCTATAGAAAATGAAGCTACCCATCAAGTTGTCTGTCTGTTAGTCCAGCGGCCCCCAACCTTTTGAGCACCAGGGACCAGTTCCAGGGAGAAAGGTTTCTCTGTGGACTGGAGGGGGTGTGGTTTTGTGTGCTACCTGCATGCCATGGATGGGGCTTCTCTTATTTGCACAACCCGGTTGCTGGCATGCTGCAGACCAGTGCCGGTTCATGAGCTGGGGGTTGGGGACCCCTGTGGTAGTCCATGCAATTTTAGCTGATAATCTTATTTTTTGTATTTCTATTTAGTTATTTGATATTTATCTGGAAAAGAGGGAAGTATCAGCAAAGGAAATACAAGTTTGCAGAACTGTAGAAAATAGTTTTTAAGGAAACAATTTTAACCAGCTCTGCCATAAATAAAATTATTTTATTTTATTTTATTTTTCATATTTGTATACCGCCCTACTCCCGAAGGACTCAGGGCGGTGAACAGCCAAAAATAAAATACAAAGACATACAAAAGTTAAAAACTATTAAAAAACAGATTAAATAATTTAGGCTCAAAGATTAAAACATCCGATTTATCTAAAAGAGATTTAAAACCCAATTTAAAAGCCAATTTAAAAGCCAATTAAAAAGGGAGAGTTAGGCCAGACCAGCCTGTTGGAATAAAAACGTTTTTAGGGCGCGGCGGAAGATGCGTAAGTCTTGGATCTCCATATCTCCGGGGGGAGCTTGTTCCAGATGGCAGGTGCCCCCACAGAGAAGGCTCTCCCCCTGGGGGCCGCCAGTCGACATTGTTTGGCCGACGGCACCCTGAGGAGCCCCTCTCTATGGGAGCGAACTGTTCGGTGAGAGGCTACTGGTGGCAGAAGGCGGTCTCGTAAGTACCCTGGTCCTGAGCCATGGAGCGCTCTAAAGGTAGTAACCAAAACCTTGAAGCGCACCCGGAAGACCACTGGGAGCCAGTGCAGCTCGCGCAGGAGGGGGGTCACATGAGAGCGCCACATCGCTCCCGTCACCACCCGCGCGGCCGCATTCTGGACCAGTTGGAGCCTCCGGGTGCTCCTCAAGGGGAGCCCCATGTAGAGAGCATTACAATAATCCAGGCGTGAGGTGACAAGGGCGTGAGTGACTGTGCGTAACGAGTCCCGATCCAGAAAGGGACGCAACTGGCGAATCAGGCGAACCTGATAAAAAGTCCTCTTGGCCACGGCCGTCATAAGCTCTTCTAAAGACAGCCGTGAGTCCAGGAGGATGCCCAAGTTGCGAACCCCATCTGTGGGGGGCCAACGACTCGCCCCCAATAGTCAGAGATGGCGCCAACTGACTATATCGGGACGTCGGAAACCACAGCCACTCGGTCTTGGATGGGTTGAGCCTGAGTCTGTTCCTCCCCATCCAGATCCAAAATGAAAGTATTCTCTTTCTATTGTGAGATGATTTTGGAGAAAAAGCGCTTCTCTTGTGATCTAGGGACCTACACAAGCCTTAGATTTTATTTAAAGAGATTTTTAAGATAAATTTTAGTTGACAGTTGGAAGCCTCTCATACTGTATATAAATAAAATGTTTATCAGCTTTTTAATGTTGATGCTCAACAGTCAGCAGAGTTCTTCTGCAAGCAGTGTGCTATTTGCACAGCATGCTATATGGAAGTGAAAGTAGCTGCTTCTGAACACTGATGAAGAGGGAAAGAGAGGCAGAAGAAGTTATTTGGGCAATTGCATCAACGGCATGTGCAGAAGAGAAGTTTTCCAATCATTGCTGAACTTCTGGGTTGTGGGAGACCCACTGTGCACTTTTCATCTCTGAATCCAGAAACGAGATACAGAGCACAAATGGCCCTAACAATTAACTCAAGATAGCACTTGTTTTACTACAAATGCTAAAATTCTGTATTACATTGTTGAAATGAAGCATTGCTGATATTCCTTTAAATCAAGCCTTTCAAAGAAAGATATTCTCTAATAGTACATAATGAATATTTTCATCTGATGAGGTTGGCTTGTTTTCTCTAATCAAAACAAAAGATGCTTCTAATACATATGCTCAGTAGCTACAAGCAACCCCAAACTTATTACAATAGGGATATGACAAGACTGGCCATTTTTTCCTTTCTTTTTGTTGGCATTAGCTAACAATATCAAGAGAGTAAAATTTCAGAAAATAATAAAAGCATAAATTAAATATAAATATTGATGATGAAGGATCTAAAGAACTTGCCTCCTTCAGAATCAGTGGTGAAATATATACAACAGTATAGTTCAATATCAGGATAAGAATCAGATGATAAAATTAACGGAAGAGGAAAAACTTCTGAAACAACAGCAGGGTTTAATTATAATATTAAACCAGTGAAGTACTTGGAAATTTACTGAAATAGAATAAAATATTTATTCAAAAATCTTTACTAATCTGGAAAAATATAACAGCTGGTACTTTAAGATGGAGAAAGTTAAGGCTATCTTGGTTAGAAAGAATTTTGGTAGTAAAATGAGCTTCCTACAAAAGTTTCATTATTTATTTGAAATTATTCTAATCAAAATTGAAGAAGGGATATTGATGAGTGATAAGCAACTTTATGTGCTCAAATTAAAATCCCAGGATCAAACTCACAATTCTGAAAGATGCAACATTTAATTTAATTTATTTGATTTGACATTACCACCCACTTCAAAAGACTATTGTGGCTTAGAAAATCCACAAAAAAGTAAAACATTTAAAACTATTGAAACATAGCCCTGACTAAACAACTAGAATGAGACACAATAGAAAAATTAGAATGACACAGAGTAGAAAAATACAAAAGGTCCACCAATAGATCATACCCACATTAACTCTGGATGGGCAGAAACAATACGAGGTAAGCATTTTTTCAGATAATCAGGCCCTATGCCATGAAGGGCTTTAAAGGTAACAACCAGCACTTTGAGTTGCACTTGGAAACCTACTGACAGAATATGCTGGTTGTGTTAAATTATACTATCTAGCTAGTTGTTTGATCTGGATTAAAGATTGTATTGTATCACCATATGATTGGACTACAGTGGAAGGAGCAGGACTCTCAGGAGGTCTGCATAAATATTTCTGGTGTGACATAAGTAGAATTGTTTCTATGGCATAAAGCAATTATAAATAGCCTATTAAAAGTATGGGGAAATTTAACTTTTATTAAAAATAAGCTCTTTTGAGACTTTTTCCCTAAAATGGTCAGAAATATTCTAATTGGTTTCAGTATCTTTAAACAGTGTAGTTCAGAAATAAACTACATAAACAAAGTGATTTTTTAGAGATTTGAACAAATTTGAAACATACATTTGCTAGTTTATATGCAAGTTGTTCCTGAAATAGGATGTATTTCTCAGCCACATCTATCATAGGGATAGAGATGTAAGGAAAATATTAGAGAAAGGAAGTGCTGCACATCATCTTGAGCAAGTTGGAATATAAATTTGATAAATAACCCTTGACTGTTTGGATCTGAAGTTCAGTGAAGTGTTCATCCTTTCTAATATGAATGATGACTCTTTTATCCTCCAACTCATCATTTCTTTTAAATGAGAGTCTTTATACTTATCTTTTATACCTTTCTGTCCTTTGGAAAACAGATGTCTGTCTTTATCTTCAATGAATAGAGATAGGGAGATTGCAGAGTTTATAAGAGCATATGACGGCCGTGGCCAGGGGGGCTTTTTATCAGGTTCGCCTGATACGCCAGTTGCGTCCCTTTCTGGATCGGGACTCCCTACGCACGGTCACTCAAGCACTTGTCACTTCCCGCCTGGACTACTGCAATGCTCTCTACATGGGGCTCCCCTTGGGGTGCACCTGGAGGCTGCAGTTGGTCCAGAACGCGGCCGCGCGGGGGATTATGGGAACGACGGGGCGCTCACATATAACACCTCTCCTGCGCGAGCTGCACTGGCTTCCTGTGGTCTTCCAGGTGCGCTTCAAGGTGTTGGTGACCACCTTTAAAGCGCTCCATGGCTTAGGGCCGGGGTATTTGCGAGACCGCCTTCTGCCGCCGATAGCCTCCCACCGGCCGGTTCGCTCACACAGAGAGGGCCTCCTCAGGGTGCTGTCGGCCAGGCAGTGCCAGCTGGCGACCCCCAGGGGGAGAGCCTTCTCTGTGGCAGCGCCTGCCCTCTGGAATGACCTGCCCCCTGAGATACACACGATATCAGACCTCCGGACTTTTCGTCGGGCCCTGAAGACACACTTGTTCCATCTAGCTGGGCTGGCTTGATCCCATCCTCTTAGTTTTTTAATCGAATTTCGGTTTTAATTGGGTTGTTTTAAATTCGGGCCAAAATTATTTAATTGTTTTTTAAAATGTTTTTAAATTTTATATGCTATGTTTTATCCTGGCTGTACACCGCCCTGAGTCCCGCAGGAGAAGCGCGGTATAGAAATATAATAAAATAAATAAATAAATAAAATAAATAAATAATAGTGTGTATTAAAGAAATAGCAAGAAAAGTCATAAGTAAATTATTCACTATTTGCGAGGAATGAACTATTTTTCTTCTTTCTTACTTTAGCAAAAGTGCCTCTGATTAATTCTAGCTTCAAGTGTAATGACAGAGAAATAAGGAATTGAAGCTTAGTAGCTCATTATATCTGAAGCTAGAATTGGTCAGAGGTACCTGTTAAGTGCCAAACAAATCGGGAGATCCAGATGGTTCAAATGGGTAAAAAGATTTATTGCAAGCTTAAGCTTGCTACGAGAACCTGAACTACTAACAGCTAAGGGAAATTAGAGGATATAAGAGTAGGAGGAATTCAAGATGGGCTGGGCTTAGATCTCTTGTGGGCATGAAGGAACTCATGAAGGCTGATGATGTATTTGACCCCTCCCTTGGGCTCAGCCTGGTCATGTCCTATATCATCTTTGCTAAGGTGGGTCTTGAGGAGAAATTGTTTCTTCTGCTTTCTCTGCTATGTTTTGTATAGTAGTCAACTTTGCTTATTAACTGATTTTATTTTTTTCAACTACAGGGTGCCTCCTCCAGGTGAATATTTTTCAGCTTATTACAGAACAGTTTCCTCAAAATGACTTATCTTCTTCACAACAGCCAATTACAGCCAATCATATAAAGAAAAAGAAAAGGCAGGTATCCATTTGTTTAAACTTAAAAACAGCAGACCCATAGAACAAGTCAAAGATGCAGATGAAAAAGCCAAATGTAAAATATTGTTTTAGAACTATGAAGAAACCTAATATGAAAAATGTAGTAATATGACTCTTGTTTAGTTCACTGAATTTTGAATATTTTCCTTTATTCTGATTTTCTCTTGATTAAAAAAAAAGTTCCATACCAGTTATTTTCTGTTTGGTGTGGTCATGTGACATTGCACCTTATGACTGAATCTAAGCAACAAAGTTCCATTCTCAACTGGATCTCCATCTGACGAACATTCTGTTTCTCTAACTTTTTAATGAAAGTAGTATTAGATTCATACTCTGGTTTCCTAGTCTGGTCTACCTTGAAGGGCTGACATATTGCAGGTATTTTACAGTAGATCTAACTGAGAATGAAAATGGAGGAGCAACCCATTATAGGATACACTTCTCCAATACAGAAAAATCATTATCAGTCAAGTGTCCTAATTCTGCAGTTTGTGTTTCTTTCTCCCTATAACATCTCTAGAGCTGCACTCATGCTACTTTTTTGCTCTTCTCAGGCTTTATGCACAGTTTTATTTTGAGGATGTGAAAGTTCTTCATGTTCCTGAAAAGAGAGCCAAAAAAAGCCCTACCATCTATCAGCAGACCTCCTGTGATGTGAAAGACAGTGGCAGCTCAACAACTGATCTGAGACCCTCAATAAGGAAAGCTAAAAGGAAAGGAAAGGAAACAGAAGAAGCAAATACCAGGGAGCCAGAACATTTCAGAAACAGTACTGAGAAGATCACCTATGTATCTCGTCTGTTTTTGCTGATTCAAAAGGAAGGACTTGCATGGCGCAACTACCTCCACAGTTCAGAAAGCAAGTCTGAAAATGGGCAGACAATGCAACTCTGCTTTCAGGCCACAATTTTATGGATGGGCAAACCTAAGCTATGCCACAGTCTTGGAGAACGTGAAGAACAGGAGGAGCTCAAGATTATTGCTTTTGAAGAGACCAGCGAAGCCCAGCAGAAAGTAAGGGTAAAGCAAAGTGGAGAAATGGCACATGATTGCATTCATTCAGAATGTTGCATGCCTGCTGTTCTTCCATAATCATCATTGTGTAATGTGTAGTTATCATCAGTTCATGAGATCCAGAACAAACAGAATGACATCAATTTGTACTTTTCTTTTATACTGTAGTGCTTTCATACAGAATTAAGCCTATACCTCAAAATATATTAATTAGCTCAAGATTGGACTATCTTCAGTCAGATCCATTAATCTGCTCTTGCTCTTAGTTCCAGAAATGTACAATTTACCCTTGTCATTTTTTGTATTCTCTGTTTTAAGTCAAATGTTGTGATTGTCCTTAAATGGACCCATGGACATTGTCCTTTGCTGCTTGTCATGGTTTCACAAAAGGTGTTTTAGTTAAATACTAAGTTATCAGCCTTTGTTGTGCCCATACAGCATTCACTACAAATAGTAAAGACAGTGCCAATCAGTTTTGGCACCATTTGGCCACTATAACACAAGCCCAGTTTTACCCCCAAGGTTGTATATGCTATTCTACGCAAGCTAGGAACTCTAATCTAGAACTTAATCTTGTCAAACAGCATACTGTTATATCTCACCACCAACACTCTGATGGTAAAATTTGGGTTTCTTTTGTTATGGACTTCTCAAATTACTCTTCAGGTGTTGTTACTGTTTCTGAAGAACTCTCTGCACTGGTTCCCATTTCTACATGTTGACCATTTGTACCAGCTCATTCTACCTCAGTGCACGGTAAGACTAAAAGAAACTGTAAAATTTATTGCTGGGCTTTTGCTGATTTACTCAGGAAGAATAAAAATCAGTGATTGGGCCTTCTAGTCCAATTTTTTGTCTTTCAAATTTCAAGATTCCTTGTAATGGTGGTGTCTGAATACTGTTTGATTCTATGGTAGGTCTCAGTTCGCTATGTTTTTTCAGGATTTGGATATTTTTGATAAAAAGTGCTCCACACTGGCTCCAGGAAACAAATACAACTTGAGCTGTTCCTTTTTTCTGCCCTTCCCAGATGGGGCCTATGTGCATCATGTGAGACGAATTTCTCAGGTACGAATTTGTTTCTATTTTGATTTGGGAAGAAAATGAACTAACAGGCTAATACAGAGTCCTAGGCATGAGTAGAAGTGAACAATTTTAATGCCAATACAGTAGGTTCACGATGTGAAGAGGCAGAGCAGTGGATTAATATATTTATTTTTTCTTTTTCAGCCCATGTCAAACATATTAAAAAGGGAACAAAAAATGTTCTCCATTGCAGAAATACTCAATCTGAGGTAAAATATATTTTCTTTTTGTTTACTGAGAGATTTACTGTGGAAATTGTAATTATGGTCTTTAAGGAAATGAAATGGAATATCCTTTGCTCTACTTTTTAAAAGTCATACTCTTCTGGTCTGTATTGTTATCTTGGCTAACAATATAATATAAACTAATTTTGAAGCACAAGATGGAAAAGAGTTGGAGAGAGACACGAGGCATATCCAGGCTGGTTGTTCACACTAAACCTAGTTTGCTTTAATTCAGTTAAAGCAACTTTTTTCTTGCTTTTTGAGTGCACAAAATCATAATTTAGGATTTAGCTATCATTTACAGCTAGTACATAATGGGATTCTTGAGTATTCTGACAGACAAATGAAGTCTTTGCAAAAACTACAATTGAAACACTTAGCTAAAAATAAGCAACCCAAATTAAGTGCTAGCCTGCCCCCTGCCATTTTCCCTTTCTTTTTATTGCTGGAAAGAGAGAAGATTCTTTGAATGTGTGCATGCATGCACATGTTTTCATGTGAGAGTGATCTGTGTATAAGAGAATATTTACACAGAGAAGGATCCATTTACTAAATGGGTTTTCTTATTTTATAGGGAATTAATTTTAACAAGTAGTTTTTAATTCAGTTACTATTTCTCAGGGTCTGTCTTTCCTTGGAGTGTGGCTTCTAACACATATATAAACATGCATATACATATGACATACACAAGTATATTGGATAAGGAAATGGCATCTCCAGGATGGGTTTCCATTTGAGTTAGCATTTTATCTGCATTTATTATGGCTTTCTTTAGAGGACGCTTAAGTATGTGCTCCTTTCAGGAAAATTTCTGTTTCTGTTCAGAATCTTCAAAGTTCCAGATAGTTTTGCTAATGGTATTTAAAAATCTCCTTTTTCTTTTATGAACATGCCTAATTATTGAGGCTGTTTTTGGAGGCTGTCCTGTGTCTGGTAACAATTGAGATCTGCTTGCTGGGAAAAGATAGAAGGCATTTTCACTGTTGGAATTGGCGTCTGAGGAATCTCTATTTTACTAATGAGTTGATTCCAGAAATCGCTGCAGATCTTCCCTTTTAAAACATAGTTTTGCAACAGAAATGATGAAAATGTTTTTAAATGTATGGGCACAATTCAAAGTGATAACAATACCCTGATTGCTTAATGTTAATTTACTGGAAGACTATAGAATGAACTTAGTTTTAAGATCTTTAGGAGAATCCTTTCTATCCTTCTCTCTCTGAAGGATAATCTGTTCCTTGATTATCTAGTAAATATTTGGTAGGCAAAGTCACTTTTCTTCAGATAGTGTTAATATCTAAGAAGCCAAAATTTAGTGCTTCTAGTGAATGAATGAGATTGGCAGCAAATTCTAATTTAAATAATTGATATGTTAACTATCTGTTCTTTTTTCCGTGTTTAAAACTAGGATCCAGACACTACCTTGAAAAACCTTTTAAATTTGTTGTTGAACTGAATTTTAATTTAGAAGATGCTGGTATCTTACTGATTTATTTTATTCGTTATTTTTAATCTTGAGTTAGTGTTTTTAATCTAGTGTTATGCTTAAAATTATAGTTTATACTGACCAGATTGCCCTAATCTCTGTTTTGGATGAAAAGCAGGAAATGTAGTAAATTAAATGTTCCCTCATCAGCTCCAAAGGTTCTCTGGTCTCTTTTTCTGGAGAAATAATGGAAAGAACTTTGTGTGACTCTCATTCTGGAAAGAAGACAGAAGCAGATGCCTGTGTTCAGAAAAAAGGTAACTATTTGGAAAATGTGTAAGTTTTTATAAGCATTGCTGAGACAACACATATAAACTAGCCAGTCTATTCAGAATATATTGGTGAGAATTACTCTGCAAGAAGAAAAATGAATTTTCTATAGCCTAGAGCTAAAATGATGTTAGGATCAACCTGGGAGGAAACTATCTTCTACCTATTTAGGTGGCCGTTTGCCCTGGAATTATACTGTGAAGCTGAGCGTAGCACCTGCACATGATTCTTCAATTCTTCTGGATATCTATATTCAAGCCGCTTTTGTGCCATATCTTTGGGGTTTGTTGCCTGGAGCTAGGATTTTGTTTCGGGATCTACAGTGCAAAATTTCCAGGTATGTCTTGAGCCCAGAGGTACTGAAGCATCATGTTAATATTCATCGTATATCATGGCATAATTGATACCTGCTAATTTTTATAGGATTTGCTTCACTGCTATTAGTGAAAAGGGCTCAGGCTTTGGTCTTTGATGTCCAGACTATCATGCTGAAGTTTTTACTAACGTCTTGTATTGACCACCATTTGGGATATCCACTGAATAGAAAATGTGTTTTGTTTCACACACAAAATATACTTTGACTTAGAAATCTAGTTAAGACTATTCTGAGCTGGTTCTGATTGAATTGAAACTGAGTTGTTCTGGGCTTTGGCATAGGTCTTACAGGATGAATCAAGCAAGACTAATGCATCTCATCTTTTTCTCCCTTTCATAGCCTGTCCTCTAATCTGTCCAAATTTATCAGCACGCCTTCCTTCCTCCCACCTATCTTCTCTTGGCTGCCATTATCACTCTTGCATTCAAGTATGGTGTGCCTGATCTTCTCACTTGCTCCCCTTGCCAGTCTTCTCAGCCCATTTCTTCTCCAAAACTGCGACAGTTCTTCAGGTGCAGTGTATCAAAATGTCCTACCAGCTCCTTTCTCTGCCCTTCTCAGTTACACTTCGTTAATATCACTGGAAATTCCCTGGATTATTGATTACATTACTGACTAGATATGAATGGGCTGCCTGTTACTAAAAATGCTGTTTTCCTTCCTTGAGCTGCCAAAACACTGAAGCCACACAGTATTTTCAGGAGCAACATATTTTTAATATGCACCATTTTCATCAGTTCCTAAAAATATTGCATAACTTAAGCTCTTCATTGGCTCAAGGAAAGACAATGCCATCTGTCATTTTTAATAGGCAGCCTGTTTGTAATTAAGAATTCCGACTTAAAATTCAGGTTAAAGACAGATAGGGAACCAAACCTGCTGTTAACTCAATACTGTTCGTACATCCTTTTTTTTTTGCTTCTCCACGACCATTCTCATTGGCTCTCTAATCTATCTCATTTAACTGTACTAGTATCCAAAATCCATCTTTTTTCATTACAGATTTGGAAATATCTATTGTGTTTTTATTACCTCTAGTGATGTGTGTACTCTGACTCCTCCACCTCACAATTCTCCAAAGTGAGTATCAACCTCAGGAGTTAGCTTGAAATTTTTTTACCTTTCATCCAACTGCAGAATTTGATGAAAGCTCCTTTTTCTTTTTTATTTGCAGACATCTGGATTCCACTGCTAAGTTTTCAGTAGGTTATTTATCCAATATAACACTTCAGCCTCTTAATCTGGGCCAAGCACAAGTCACTTGCCATTTGACATGTATCCTATCTTTATCCATGCAATGGTTTTGTGATCTCTGCAACATCTCCACAGAGGTATCTAGTCAGCCATATTTGAATTTGGGAATTTCTAAGCTTCTTTCCTTGTGTCATAATTGCTGTATTGTATTGTTTTATTATTTTGCATGAAGTAACATATGGTCATTCAAACTTCACACCTGTAATCTGAAATAACTGCCATATAAATTTTTATACTAACACGATCACAATTTCGTCAACATATTTTCTCCCTTCCTAGAGAAGGCCCAACGAATGTAACAATTCTTGCTCGTCACATACAGGAATGATTAAAGCTATAGCTAAGTAAGTACTTGGAAAGAAATGTATACATTTATCTGGGGGGGAAAGCACTTCAACTGATCATAAAAAAAATATTGTCTGTTATAACTGCCAATAATTTTTATTGTCCCTATATAAATAGCATATAAGAAAAAGCAATAACACATGTTCAAATTATATAATATAGAATGTTGAATAGTTTGCTCATTTTGTCCATGTATTTAATCCTCAAATCTGACAACTTTTTGCTGAACAGAAATTATTTTTTGACCAAATATATTTAAAATCAAAATGAGTACAGGGTAATGACCAACTTAATCATAAGTCATGATGATTGTAAAAATGGCTGCAATGTAAAGCAACCTCTGGCCGTAAAGTTAACCCATTGTTTGCAATGGAAGGATTTTGCTGAAAATTAGAAGTAAATGCTGGGTTTTGGCAAAACTTGGCAAAACATTTGCATGCCTGCAAGGTACTGCACACAGCCATAAATGGAGGTTGTGTGTCCAATGTGGTCATGTGACTGGGGGAAGGCTGGCCATTGCAACTGAGCCATAAGTAGCCGAGGGGGGGGGGCATCTATAATAATTTTGAACAGTTGCTAAGCATCCAATTGTAAATCAAGGACTTCTTGCTATTCAGATTATTACTTTATGGCATACAGAATAGAATTACAGATATCCATTATTCTGAATGAGAATGTGAAATATTTATTTCAAATCCCACTTATTATCACAGAATCCTAGTAGAAGATGGAACAAGTGAGGTTATGGTATTTTGCAAGAACCAACAGGTGCAGCAAGTGTTGAGTTTGAGCCCCAAGGAATGGGAGGTCATGCAAAATCATATTCGGATTAAGGGAAGTGTCTGCATTCAGCATAATGAAATTAGCACAGGAGCTAGGGTAAGTGGTTTATTTTGAATTAGGAAATTTGCTAATTACTTGAATTAGGAATTTTGCCTAATGATTTTGAGTGTAGGTCAAGGCTAATTTATCTGATTTTGACAGATACTGGAAGAGCAAGATCTGCTCACACAGTATTTGAGAAACTTATGCAGAAGTCCAGTTGTCTGTCGATCCATAGTGTTGGCCTTCAGAGTGGATAGAAAATCTTTTAAGACAGGTATGTTATATGCCTTCAACCTCACACAATGCTTTCAGTGTTAAGAAGCCATTTTTTTTAGAAACAATGGCAGCTATTCAACTTACTATTCCTGCGATAAGTTGCTTTGCTATAATCAATACAGAAATTACTTGTTAACAATATAGCGATTCCGATGCCTCTCTTTAGTCCTTAACATTGCTTACAAATCCCAGAAGCTTCAAAATAGATGAATGAAACGCCCAAGTAAGCTGCTAAATTTACTTCAGTATGCCAGATGTTCCATACCTAAAGCAGATACCAGTTTAATCAACACCTGCTAGCAATTAAATTGAGATGTTTAGAGGAAAAATTCTAGGAACTAGAGGCTGATCTGTATTACAAAATGGCTCAAGAAAATCGTTCTTATATTAATTGGAATATCAGCCAAGAGATGGAGAATATTGATCACTGTGTTTTGACTTTTATGGAGTTGAAATCTAATCTGATGGGCAGAAGGCTGATTTATGCAAATGGGGACCATTGGTATATTGTAAAAAATACTGTGTGCTTCTGTTCAGATGTAGGCAAACACATTTCCTGATTTTTCTTAGAGATTTTAATAAAGGCAACAATAAATGGAATTCTATCGCACATCTTAATTAGGCAAGCATAAATATGAGGGAGATGAGCTGTTAAGAAATATGAAATTGCTTAATGGCTATTGCTTAACGCATTGTAAGCAGCCCTGAGTCTCCGGAGAAGGGCGGCATATAAATCAAATTAAATATATATATATATATATATAAGAATATATATACACCATATACCAAGTATTGCACTTGTGTGTTCCTCCACTTGTACTGATTTCCTTGTGACAATAATGACTCATTTTAAAAAAACCAAAAAGGGTCCCTGTTATATCTTCTCTATACCCTTCTCCCAAAATTAGAAAAGACATACCCAGGAGCTGGCTGAGATACAGTGTGTTGGTGTTATTTTTAGTGAGAAAGAGATGGATTATAAAGTTCTCTTTTTTTAATAGGATCAGGACAATTGAGGAGGTTTTTCTGTAATGAATTAGAGTTCTTAAGCCGAATGAGGAATCGACCAAACTTGATATGTCTTAATATCCAAGAAACAATCTGAAGAACAGGAAGAGGAGAAAGTGTAATTACTCTGGAGGAATTTGTGTAATTCCAATTTGTGTATGTATTTCAGGTTTGGAGATATTATCATTCAAGTATGAAAGGTATTGTTGCAAACATTAAAATGTGAAAATATTTTTATATAAAAAAATCAAGCTTGTTTTTCTTTGTTTCATTCATTCTTTTCAGTAAAATACAAATCAGTGTTGCCTTATAACTAAAAGGTTTGTTATTTTAACATTTGATTAAAGCATATTGTGTTGCCATGATTTTACTCTCTGCACTGAGAAAAGTGCATCTTAATCTAAAACAATGACTATTTTTTGCACATACTAAAATTTAGGAAAGGTATAACAGATGATCAAGCAAAAGATAGACAATTTCCCATTCATTTCACCTCTGCTTACACCAGATAAGCATTTATCCCAATTGCCTTTGCAGTATTGTTTTCCTAATAGCATATTCCTAATATGCTATTCCTATATTATTAATAAAATCCCCCAGAACAGCTAGGAATCCATCTATGTTTATTACATCCCAATTCACAGAATTTAGAACCAAATACAACCTAATTTGTATGGTAGTTTCTCAAGGCCATGAGAAGAGACATCATTCACTATAGAATGAACTTTCAAGAAGAAAAAAAGCTTTCATTCTAGAGAAGGGAATTAGAAAAATGCTGGCCTTAATCACTCAATAAAAAGCATTTCCAATAGTCCCACAGATTCCAATTCCAAAGAATATAGACTACCAACATCCTAAAGCTTGAGAATAGATGCTTCTGAGTGATTATTTAAATATATATAATCCTGAATCTCAATATAATTTCCAATCAGCTTTAAGATAATAGTCCAATATAGGTAACATAGGCAGAGTTTAAGTTTACTCATTTTTATATTACTAAATTCTGTAATGTCTTGTTGACACAAAGCACCAATTAAAAGGCTAGAAACTTTTACTCTGATGGGCAAGAATAGTATATTATCAACACAATTGTATTCTTTTAAGATTTGAACAAATATACACAAAGCTACATAGATACAATGCCGTTCTTCCCATCAATTCCTCCTCTTTTGGAACCATTGAGTTTGTAATATCATGACATGAGTATGATTTTTCTAACACTGACACAAAGAGAATTTTTTATTTTTATCCAAAAATAAATTGCACAGTGAGGGAGATAGGGAACAAAGCAGCATAATACACTTATGTAAAGTGATAGTAGTTAATCAGTTTCCTAGGCATAGAATGCTACAACATAATACAATCAATAAGGATTTCAGCAAAAGAAGCAAAACTGTTTTGTGCTAATCACTGATATATCATGTTCTGCAAACAGCATAAATGAAATTACCGGTAGCTTTCTGAATATAGAACTCAAAAGAATTGAAAATGCAGTTATCAAATTTAACTGGTATTGCCTAAATGAGGAAAAAGCATGTTTCTGAAAGGCTCAAAACTGATATTGAGTGACATACCAGAAACAGAAGGGTCATCAATTCTATAGTTATAGTGGTCAGGAAGAGGAAATATATTATTACTTGATTATAATATTTAGCAACCTTGTTTCCAGTTTCCATTGAATCATATTTATAATCCATACTTCATATTATAATACATTTACAAATGTGCAAGGAAACAGAATCCAGAGAGGATTCTTTTTAAGATTATCTTTCACATTATTTAAATTGTAATTATGTATGAGCATTAAGGCCTGCTGTTAATATGCTATAAGAAAGCACTAGACATAATGATCTTTACAAGAAGAGGTGAGAAAAAGGATTAGCAAGCAGCTTTTTTATAATTAAAGCTTGGGGTTTTAACATTCTCTTCCTCAGCAAATTTAAAAACTTTTGTACAACTATTCCATGGTTTTTCATTTTTTTATAAGTTTATAGTGTTACATTTGCTCAAATAAGGATACTTACTGTTCTAAATAACAAACATTGCCAGAAATAAAAGGTTGATCTTTTCTGGTCCATATTTCCAAGCATAGAAAGCAGAAAAAAATAATTTAACAAGTCACATGTACATTCAAAAGACATTTCCTCAAATAATAATAGCTGAGCATAGACTTGTTGGGAATCATTTTTGCCCATCAGTTCTAATCTTGAAGATTTTTCAGCACATTAAGAATGGGGAAGAGCTTTTGCACCGAAGTATTGTGATCTATAATTCTGATCAACTCTATTGATTATAGACACAACAGCAGCATTAAAGAATAAGCAAAACTACCTTTGAAGCATCATGCATGACCACATGCAGTAGAAAACTGATTTAACTGCCTTTTTCCTCCCTGAAGAAATCTATACTTTGACAACCTTAATCCTCTTCCAAAGAGAAAAACAGTTGAAGGGTTAAATTTGGTGAGAAAACTTCAAGCCTTACTGGGACTTTAGCAAAGTCTGTTTTATATTTGCACAAAGATACGCAACTATCAAACTAAATTGGAATGTTTTTCCAGTTATTAGTAATCTTCATCACAATGTATATCTTCATCTTCTGCTGGAAAAAGAGAAGATTGAAAGGAGAAACACTGAAGTGGGAATTTCTAGTCCTCCAAACTGCGGAATGCATTCTGCATGTCTTCAAACAGCTGGGCATAGTCTGCTTTGATCTTTGCCTCTCCATCTTTCATGGGGTCCTGAAATTCAACAGAGCGAAACTGGATAATCACTCAAAAGGTTTAGAAATAGCAATTCCTCAGAAGATGTCATGAATATCTTAACATTGCAGAATTCCTACCAAGGGTGCAGAGGGAACTGGTCCTTTGATATGCCTGTTGAGATCTACCTGTCCCATGAAAAACAACAGCCAGCAGACATACCAGTGGTGAAATGTAAAATTTGTTACTACCAGTTCTGTGGGCATGGCTTGGTGGTGGTGGTAATGTGACTGGGTGGGCGTGGCCAACTTTTTTTTTTTTAACTTTTAAAAGCATTTTTTTTACAACCTTCGGCCGAAGAGGTTGTAAAAAAAATGCTTTTTTTATTTTAAATATTTTTTATTAGTTTTAAAAGTAAAACAATGGACATTGCTCAATGTCTCTGGTTTCTAACATTTGCATCTAAATCAAGTTAATAAATAATCTCTATTCCTTGATCTATATACAAATTTACATATCTCCTATTTCATTATATATCAAGTATGCAGTATTTTACTTCCTAAACAACTATGCATGTATTTAATAAACCTATATTACATTCACAAATTCAATATACATTGATATATTGATATACATTGATATATACATTTCAAGACATTTGTTATCCCTTGTTTTTGGCATTCTTCCTCTTATCTAACCAATTATAAAATGTATTCCAGACTTCATAGTATGTTGATTCACTTTTGTCTTTGAGTTCTAAAGTGAGTCTGTCTATCTCTGCACAGCTGTAAATTTTGTGTATAACTTCTTCTTCTGAGGGTATTTCTTTACACTTCCATTTTTGAACAAATGCTACTCTGATACTCAGAGGCATTTTTTTCCTTTTAAAAGCATTTTTTTTTTTTTGCTTTTAAAAGAAAAAAAAAGGCTCTGATGATTGGGTGGCTCAGCTGGGGGGCATAGGGCAGGGGCAGGCAGGGATTTTTGCTACCGGTTCTCCGAACCACCCACCGCCATCGCTGCCAGACTGGATTGTCCGATCCGGGAGCATTTCACCTGAGACATACCTCCAACTGATAAATACCTCCTCATGTAGCAGTGTTACTATTTTCTCTTTCACTTCTGCTATAATAATAACATCAAATAGAAATCTGCATGTGTGCCAAGTTTCATATTCAAAAAGAAATTGGAATTGTGAAATGCTTCATCCTCCTTCCTGAATCCAGAGGTGATACAAAAAACCTAGTTACTTTTCTTTGTACATAATTTGAACAGGTACCAGAAGATAACAGAAATAGACTTTGAAGGTGGTCTGCAGCCAATTAATGTCAACCATGAAGCAGTTTTCTGGCATCATAAGAGAACAAAGCCATCCACTTTGTTTTATCAGCAGCTCAAGTTATAGAAAAGCAGGTGTTCTACAATTCTGCCTAAATCACATTACAAGACTGGAACTACTTAGAGTAGACCTACCTCTTGCTTCCTATTAATATATTGACGTGACTATCCTTAACAGTCTTGCAGTTTAATTAAAAAACTAAATACTCTTGTCAACCATGTTTTTTATCAATGGCAGTTAGATTAATAGAATATTAAAGGAACAACAATCTTATATTTGTTTGATTTGGGATATGAACAAGGGCAATAAAAAATTAAGAAATTGCTTAATATATAGTTTGTGAACCCCACTGGATTTTAAGTATTTCTGTCTAAATATGATCTAAAACATGATCAGATCTCCATACAAGCTTAGCTGCTGCACAGTCTTGAAATCAGTCACCTCATTGCTGGAATTGGGTATGTCTAGTCTAGTGAAAAGAAGGACTAGGAATGACATGATAGCAGTGTTTCAATATTTGAGGAGTTGTCACAAAGAAGAGGTCAACTTATTCTCCAAGCACCTGACGGCAGGACAAGAAGCAATGAATAGAAACTAACCAAGGAGAGAAGCAACGTAGAACCAAGGAGAAATTTCCTGACAGAACAACTAATCAGAGGAACGATTTGCCTCCAGAAGTTGTGAATGCTCCAACACTGGAAGTTTTTAAGAAAAGATCGGGCAATCATTTGTCTGAAATGGTATAGGGATTCCTGCCTGAGCAGGGGATTGGACTCCAAGGTCCCTTCCAATTCTTATTCTGTTATTAGTAGGTGCTGTATCTGCACTCATGCCCATGCCAAAGCACTCATTTTGATTGTACTGAACAGAAACCATTGCATAGTCATAGACAGTAGCTTTCTGCATTTCTTCAAATACAAAAAAACGGGATCAGAAACAAACCACCCACTTTCCTAGCATTGCTTTATTTTGTTTGCAATTTAAATACTAAAGGTAGTCCTCAACTTACAACTTTTGGCTTAATGATGGCTTGAATTAATGATGGCTCATATTTATGACTAGTTGCAGTGTCCCACAGTCATATGATCACAATCTGAAACATCTTTTGTCAGTTTCCAGCAAAATACATTGTTGGTTAAGCTGGATTCACCAGACCACGACTCAATTTATAACCACAGTAAAAGGATCTTAAAATTGGATCCGGTCACATGATTAC